TAAGGCAACACCAACTACCTATTACACTTATTTTGCGTCACAGCTTCACATCAAGGTTCTGATTTTATCTGTTCCTGCCCCTGCCTTATAAGTGAGTTTAGAATCAGTGTTTTCCTTCTTTTTCAAGAACTATCTTATAGAAAGGTAAAAGAGGCTCAGCAGGGATCTGTCCTTTGAGCTTCACAGGCTAGTACAGAAAACAATATACAATTAAAAAAAAAAAACAGGTTTGTGAAAAAGTCAGTGATGCAGGGGTCTCTGGGAATCAGATACTAAGACATCACTCATGGGTACATTTTTAGGAATCTGTTTAAAAGTCAGTGATCCTGCGTCCTTCCTTCAGGTGGAAGGAGAGATAACTAAGCATCCTGCATTGTTAAAAATTTAATATTCTGCCTTTGTGATTTCCTCCCCAGCGTTGTTAGAAGAAGACAACCAGTGGATGACCCAGATAAACAGACTCCAGAAATTAATTGATAGACTGGAAAAGAAGGTAGGTACTCCCTTTTCTTTCCTCTGTCTCCTTTGCAAAATCTTCTGACCCAGTTTCCTCGATGCCTGGATATCCGTCCATGGCTGCCTCACAAATACAGGAATGTCCAATATTCAACTGGCTCTTTGAATGGATGGTTGGTAGCTATGAGGGCTTGCTTTCTGATCGGTTGGTTGTGTGTTAGTTAAATCAAATATGAAAGCTCAGAGTTATGTTTAAAATAAGGCCCAGAGCTGAGAATTAAATGAACCCTTAAGTTATGCTTGGATGATGGTAATGGCATCTAATATAATGATACAAGTGAGGTCTTAAAAATTTTCCAGTTTAATGAGAATTATTTTATGCTCAGCTTCTAGAGATTAACATATTAACTGATAATTTTAGCCTTTTAAGCCTGCCTAGTAAGCAGACAAGAAGGGATATGATGAAGACCTATTTGGAGCTACATTGTTTCTTCTTAATTAATATATCTATATGGAGTGATTCAGCTTGTACATAGTGTCCTAACACTATACTGGTACTATGCTTATAGAGCTTGGATGGTTAAAAGTAACCTTTGTCAGTCAGTAAGAAGACTTGTTTTCTGTGACTTCTAGATAACAAAAAATGATTATTTTCTTTTTATTTGATATTTTTGTAATTTTTTATTAGTTCAAATGAGGAACAAGCTTGCTTGAGAAGTCAATTCCTTCTCTCTCTCTCCCTCTCCCTCCCCTCCCTCCAGCCCTCCCCCAACCCCCCACTTGCCCCACCCCAACCACCGCCACTCACCATCAAGGGCCCTCAACGGGGGCTCCCCAAAGTCCACCCCATCATCCTGGT